GGTTGAGGGGTTTGGGGTAGGTTTAGGGGTAGAGGTAGGGTTAGGGTTGGAGGTAGGGTTAGGGTTATGGGGTAGGGTTAGGGGTAGAGTTAGGGGTAGAGTTATGGAGTAGGGTTTTGGCTTGAGGTGGGGGTAGGGTTATCATGGTAAGGTTAAGTGTAAAGTACAAGCTATTACCTGTCAAGCTACAATCGGGTCCGGCCAAACCAGTGATAGAAGATGACAAGAAACATACCACGCTCCCACACGATTCCATTGTATGGCAACCAGGCCCAGACCTGAGTATTAGTAGTGTTGACCACAAGTGTGTTTCCCCCCAGTTATCTCCTACATCCTCATATCCACTAGCCCCCTCACCACAGTATGCCAATCCACAAATGGATATGAACTCAGGTTGCAGTATGCGATATACACTCATAGAGACTCCAAGCATGGGGTAGCACAGCACTCACACAATGAACAACTCAGAGATAGGGCAGATCAAAAGGGGAAATATGTGGACAGGACAAGTAGCAATTTTACGCTACAATCATAATATGAAAGTTTACTCCCATAATGTAAAAGGATTAAATACCTTATATAAGCGACATTACCTATTTAGAGATTTGAAACACGAACAAGTGGAGATCGCATGCCAAGAAACACATTTTAAAACTGCCCCGCCCATAAAGCTTGATCTCTGCCCACACCAATATCACGCTGTCACAGGGCACAAATCTAAGGGAGTATCAGTCTTGGTTAGCAATAAAGTGGCCTACACGCATCACGACTCATACATAGACCTCATGGGCAGATATATAAATATAGTCTGTACTATAAAAAATGCCTAGTCACCGCCTATGCACCAAATATGGACCAGTGAAACTTCCTACACAAATTACTCGCAAGGGTCTCACCAGTCCAGAGGGGAATGTTGATTCTCTGTGGAGACTTCAATCATGTCATAGACCCCATCTTGGACACAACTTTACAATTAAACTCCAAAGGCAAGACCAAACAAAACAAAGCATGTACAACATACAGAAAATTACTAGATGAGCACCAACTATAGTATGCTTGGAGAATACTAAACCTGCATTTAAAGGACTACACCAATTATTCAGCCCCACACAAGACATACACAAGAATTGACAGATTCCACATACATAGACAGCACTTAGACCAACTGGCCGAATCAGCTGGTCGGACCATAACATTAACAATCAAAGACCAATACCCCTACAAACATAAATGTAAATGGAGACTAAACGATTCCATCCTATACCATCAGGCATTCACAAACACCGTAGAAGAAGCACTCACTCAATACTTTGAACTAGGCTACTCCCCGTAGACACCAGGAAGCATCATATGCCAGGCACATAAGTCAGTCATTACAGACTTAATGATACAAAAAGCTGTACAGCTAAAAAAAAAAAAAACAGGTGCAATGGATAGAATGGAACAGACAATTACATGACATCACCAAACAAAACCAAACACATCCAAGTGACACACTGCAAACAAAAATCAAGGAATTACAGGACAGACTCAAAGAACAAGCACTACAATGAGTGAGCTACAACGTGCGTAAACTCAAAATTCACCAATATACAGGGCAACAAAGCCAGCAGACAAATGGCATCTAGACTCAAACACAGAGAGTCCAACAGTAAAATACCATACATAATTGACCACAAAAAAAAAAAAAAATCGAATCACCTGTTGACATACTCAAAAAATTTGCATCCTACTCCAAACGCTGTATAATGTGGACAATCAGCCCAATTAGAAAGACAAAACAACACTGACATACACAAATATCTAGCAGACATCCAACTACCAAGATTATCAGGCAACCAGATAGCATCGCTAACAGCTCCCATCTCCACGAAAAAAATCAAAGACACAATTAATGCCCTACCAAAAAATAAAGCCCCAGGCCCAGATGGATTCCCTAACCTCTACTACCAAACATTCCATCATATACTGGCACCACACATAACATCCTTATTCAACCACGCCATCTGGCACCTTACCCAAAGGACTACTATTGGCACACGTCATCACACTCCCCAAACCAGGCAAACCACCGACACACTGTCCAAACCTTTGCACAGTATTACTTCTGAACACAGATGCCACGTTATATGCCAAAGTCCATGCACAAAGATTAAGCCGATACACAGCTGATACACATCGATCAGGTGGGATTAGTGGTGGGGAGACAGGGGTCAGACAACACCCGTAAGGTGTATAGGCACCCCATACATTTCTCTACAGAGCCTTATACGGCTCTGGGGCATGTAAGTGCAATTCCATTTCCCATTCTGTTACTGTTACTGTTACTGTTGACACACAGTTTTATACTATGTGTTTTTTGTATTTCTTTTAGATGTATTAAACTCAACTTGTGGAACTATACTAGACATACTACTGGAATTTGAAGTATTCTCTCTCTCTCTCTATATATATATATTATTGTTCTTAATGTATTATATTTGCTGGTGTTTCACTTTGCTTAATTTGAAAAAAGAGAATAAAGCAGATATAGGTGCAATGATGAATAGCTTGTGTACCTCAGGTGTTAAGGTAATGCAGTCTCTTGAAGTGCTGTTTGGTTCTGCAGTCTTGATGATTATAATTATCAGGAGCCCTTTTGAGAGTGTGCTTGTAACTTGACTTGTTTGCAAGAAACACCTTAAAGTACTAAATCTGGTACACAGCGTGAGAAGAATGGGGGATCGGGTGCCTTCTGGTGTCACTAGATGCCAAGAAGGCCTTTGATTGACTCAGCTGGATATTTCTCCAGGCTGTGCTCCAAAAATTCAACTTCCCAGACCACTTCACAAGAGTGAGAAAAACACTATATAGCCATCCAGAGTGGTTAACGCGGGGTTCTGCTCAGACCCCTTCACAATAGCTAACGGGACGAGACAAGGATGCCCACTCTCGCCATTACTTTATGTTGTAGCCCATAAGCCACTAGCAGCTAAAATCAGAAGTGAGTTATCTATAAAGGGAGTCATGCTAGGTACAAATGAATACAAACTAAGTCTATTCGCAGATGACATCTTCATCACATTAATCGAACCACACATATCTATGCCTAATCTCATGAAACACATAGAGCAGTATGGAAAATACTCATACTACAAACTGAATATAGCAAAAAGCCATGGGTATAAACATACCCAAACAGCAAACGTAACTCCTAAAAGAGAGGTTCCCTCTGGACTGGCGCACAGACTTTCTGACTTTAAATCCACACTGCAAGTATGGGAAGGGAAGGTCATATGATGGATGAGATGCATAGCTGCCTTAAAGATGTCGCTTCTGTCCAAATTACAATATTTATACAGATCCCTGCAGATTCAATTACATTGGAGCTTTCTGGCCATGGTACAAAACATGTTCCTGAGATTTGCATGTCAGAACAACAAAGTAAGAATAGTCACTAAGATACTGCAAAGGAACATAACCAAGAGGGGGGTCTAAGCTTCCCAGATGTAAAAGTTTACTACAAAGCAGCAATTCTCAACACCATCTCACAACCCACCATAGACGAAGAGCAATGGCTTAAAACGTACTCCACTACAAAGGAAAATACAATACCGCTGGCACCTAGTATCGGATAAAATACATAAAATATGGCCCTAATCATCAACCAACAAGTGCTGGAGGTGTGAGACACAGGTGGGGACAATGTTACACACATGGTGGACGTACAAATCTTTACAGCCCTTCTGGCACAAGGTCCACAGACTAATAGAGCAAGTAACCAATATTAATATAGATCTTAAGATGTAAACATGTCTCCTATTTATGCCACCAGAGGAGATGACTAAAGCCCAATGGGCGGCAACCTATCACATTCTAATCTCAGCAGCTATAGTGATCTCTAGGTTATGGGAAACACCCACTGCACCAAACTAACTACCCCCTTAATTAAATGAATACTAACTGGAAGTATGAGACTATATTTTGAGCCAATTTAGGGCAAGGGAAACCATAACCAAAGCTAATCTGATGTAGAAGGAGTACTGGTCCAAAACCCCAAATTAGGCAACAAAAGCAATACACCATTTTCCCCTAAAACAAGTAAAGACATAAACATGGATAACTATTCCATACGTAGTGAGCCAACACAGTGATATTCCACCATACAATCTTGAGCAAATGCAAGTAACAGACCGAGACCAAGGCCTCATCCAATAACACAGGTAACTACAGAACATAAGATACCCCAAACACCACAAGAGATCCTAAGCAACTAGTTTATTAATAAAGGCAGGAGGAATTGGTGTTAAGCATATATGGTAATGGATGAACTTGGTTGCCAATATGTCAAAATACATTGAATTACGTTACCTTGTTTTTGTTTTTTTATTGTGGTAGCCCACAAAATATTGGGACATACAAAAAAAGAAACATTTGCGGCCTGCGGTGCATTTCTTGCAGTCCTGACGCATGGAGAAATGCTCAACTCCTGATGCATGGAGAAAAGGCCTTCACAAGCCTCTGCTAATGTGTACATAGTTTATACTAAGTGACCCATAGGTTGAGGTGATGGTGGAGGAGGAGGTAGCAAACGCTGTTTTTTTTGTTTGTTTTTTATTGTGGTAGCCCACAAAATATTGGGACATACAAAAAAAGAAACATTTGCGGCCTGCGGTGCATTTCTTGTAGTCCTGATGCATGGAGAAATGCCCAACTCCTGATGCATGGAGAAAAGGCCTTCACAAGCCTCTGCTAATGTGTACATAGTTTATACTAAGTGACCCATAGGTTGAGGAGGTGGTGATCGTGGCGGTGGAGGAGGAGGATGAGGTAGCCACCACTGTTTTTTATATATATATATATTTTTTTTTTTAATTGTGGTAGCCCACAAAATATTGGGACATACAAAAAATAAATATTTGCAGCCTGAGGTGCATTTCTTGCAGACCTGATGCATGGAGAAATGCACAACTCCTGATGCATGGAGAAAAGGCCTTCACAAGCCTCTGCTAATGTGTACATAGTTTATACTAAGTCACCCATAGGTTAAGGAGGCGGTGGAGGAGGAGGATGAGGTAGCCAACACTGTTATATATATATATTTTTTAAATTTTAAAAAAAAAAATTTTTATTGGGGTAGCCCCCAAAATATTGGGACATATAAAAAAAGACAACTCTGGTCCGCAGAGTAGCTGTTGACATTATAGTTGCGCAAGCACTTTGTTGACTATAGAGAACCTCGGGCAAATCGCACATCCCCGTGGCGGTGACTTTGCACGCGGATGTGCAATGCCAGTTTCTGCGCCTACCATGGTGACCACGGGTAACAGGGAATCAAGGTTCCATTCCATACAGGGACCCTGAGAAATGGCTACCACATGCAAGGAAGGCAGCAGGCGCGCAAGTCTCACTCCCGACGTGGGAAGGTAGTGACGACAAATAACAATACAGGACTCTTTAGAGGCCCTGCAATTGTAATGAGTCCACTTGAAATCCTTTAACTCTGATCAATTGGAGAGAAGTCTGGTGCAGAACCATTGACCCGTGCGTGCTGCAGCTGAAACTCCATTATCGCCTGCTGCTGCTCGCACAGTCTCATGAGGTGGTGAGCGGGAAGGCCGAAGTTACACTGCAGCACAGACAGGCGAGCAGCAGCAATGAGACAAAGTGAATGTCACATCCTGTTCCAAGTTGCGGATCAGTCTGGTGATGGCTTCTGGTATCAAGTACTCTTTTTACTGAAGCTGCATCAGGGTCCTGGTATGTGGCCACACAAATGCTGGTACTCAACACCAGGGGGCGTGCGGTTACCCTGCACCAGACCCTGCTAATCCATTCCTCACTGTGACCCCTAACTTCAACATTAGGCATACTGGATTCTGGTAATCTGACCACCGCCCAGACAGTGTCTGGGTCCTGGTCACCGGACTGCCCACCTGACTGTGAAACTACGAATGGATCATTATATCTGGTACGAACCCAAACTTTGCAGTTCAGGTTCCCTCAACTCTATTATGGATCCTTTGATCGCTACATGTATTACTTGGATAACTGGTAATTCTCAAGCTAATACATGCCAACGAGCCCTAGGGGACGGCCGCTCCGCTTTTGCACCCTGCTCCTTCTTGCGTGTGTCAGTATGTCTGTCAGTATGTCTGTCAGTGCGTGTGTCAGTATGTCTGTCAGTGCGTGTGTCAGTATGTCTGTCAGTATGTCTGTCAGTGTGTGTGTCAGTATGTCTGTCAGTGCGTGTGTGTGTCAGTATGTCTGTCAGTGTGTGTGTCAGTATGTCTGTCAGTGTGTGTGTCAGTGTATGTGTCAGTATGTCTGTCAGTGCGTGTGTGTGTCAGTATGCCTGTGTGTGTCTGTGAATGTGTGTCAATATGTCTGTCAGTATATGCGTGTGTGTGTCAGCATGTCTGTTAGTGTATGTGTCTCTGTGTGTCCATATGTATGTCGGTGTGTGCATGTCTGTATCAGCTTGACTCTTTGTGTCTGTATGTCGGTGTGTGTGTTGGTGAATGTGTCAGCATGTCTGTCAGTGTGTCAGTATGTCTGTGTGTGTCTCAGTATATATCTGTCTGTCTATGTGTCAGTATGTCTGTCAGTTTGTGTCTGTGTAAGTATGTCTATCAGTGTATGTTTGTGTGTCAGTTTGTCTGTATATCTGTGTGTGTATCTATGTTGTCATTTTTTGTATCTGTGTGTTTGTCAGTGTGTATATATGTGTGTATCTGTATGAAGTCTTTGTGTGTGTATCTGCAAGTGTGTCATTTGTGTATATGTGTGTCTGTGTAACTGCATGTGTGTCAGTGTTTGTATCTTTGTGTATGTCAGGATGTGTATCGGTGTGTCAGTGTGTATCTGTACGTTGTCTTTGTGTGTTTCAGTGTATCTGTATGTTATGTTATTAGTATGTGTGTCAGGGTGTGTATTTGTGTCAGGTTGTGTGCATATCTACCTGTGTGTTTGTGTGTGTATATGTGCATACATCTCAACATTCACACGCTAACACTACACACAAATACACCCCTGCATTCAAGCTTCAGCACAACATACAAATACACGTCTGTGTTAAACACCAACATTATATGTATACACACCCCTGCATTCAAAAACCAACACTATACATGAATACATGCTTACATTCAAACGCCAATGCCACATACAAACATATTCCATACAAAAACCTGTTTACATTGAAACACACAAAAACAGCTTAGTGCTAAATACAAACCTGCAAATATGGATAAATGGTAGAGCCCCAGCTGTCAAGGCATTGCTGGAGTTGCACAACAGATGGTTTGCACGCCTGGGGAGGGTGTAGATGGTCCAGGGGGCCCAAGCAAATGTTTTGCCCAGGGTCCAATCAATATTAAAGACGGCCCTGCCTCCACCCACTCCTCAATCCTGCCCTCCTTGCCAGTCTGCATACTGCAGAAAGCCACAGCAGTTGTCACCTTTGTTTTTCCAGCATGTAAACTCTGCAAAGGACATATGGGAATTGTTTTAGAATTGTATCCAGGCAACTGTTTTCCCTATAAACTGACCTCTCAGTTTGACTTGTGAGGGTATCGCCCCGGAGTTACAATATTGTTATATTGGTATTTGACGCTTCTATTTGACTCTCAGATATGAAGAGCACTCCCAAAATGTACTATTTATCAGATTAGCAGCAAAACAATTAGAATGTTTACAGCTGTGCAGTAAGCGCACTATTTGACGCTTCTATTTGACTCTCAGATATGAAGTGCAGGCTGAAAATGTACTATTTAGCACTTTAGCAGCAAAACAATTAGAATGTTTACAACTGCGCTGTAAGCACACTATTAGATGCTTCGATTTGACTCTGAGATATGAAGTGCACCGCAGGCCCCAAAATGGACTATTTAGCAGATTAGCACCTAGAAAACTTTAATTTTTACAATTGCGCTGTAACCGCAGTATTTGACGCTTCTATTTGATTCTCAGATATGAAGTGCACGCCCCAAAATGTACTTTTTAGCAGTTTAGCACCAAAACAATTAGAATATTTACAACTGCGCTATAACTGCAGTATTAGACGCTTCTATTTGACTCTCAGATATGAAGAGCAGGCCACAAAATTTACTATTTAGCAGATTAACACCCAGAAAATAAGAATGTTTACCAATGTGCTGTAAGCACACTATTAGACGCTTCGATTTGGCTCTCAGATATGAAGTGCACCGCAGGCCCCAAAATGTACTATTTAGCAGATTAGCACCCAGAAAATTTGAATTTTTACAACTGCGCTGTAAGCACACTATTAGATGCTTCGATTTGACTCTCAGATATGAAGTGCACCCCACTAAAATACTATTTAGCAGTTTAGCACCCAAATAATTTTAAGTTTTAAAACTGCAATGTGACAGCAGTATTTGACCCTTCTAGTTGACTCTCGGATATGAAGTGCACCCCACTAATGTACTTTTTAGCACCCCAAAAATGTTAACTTTTAAAACTGCAATGTGACAGCAGTATTTGGCGATTCTATTTGACTCTCAGATATGAAGTGCACCCCACTAATGTACTATGCCATTTAGCACAAAAAAAAATAATTACTTTTTAAAAGTCCAATGTAACCGCGGTATTTGATGCTTCTATTTGACTCTCAGATATGAAGTGCACCTCACCCCACTTATGTACTAGTTTGCAGAATTCTTTCCTAAGCTGTCCCTATCAGTGGCAGCATCCTGTCCCTACACTAATAAGGCCGAATGTGCGTGCGGCGCTACGCGACTCCAGCTTATATATGGAGGCTGGGTCACATGCTGCACTGGCCAATCACAGCCATGCCATTAGTAGGCATGGCTGTGATGGCATATAAGGGCACACGAGTCAAACACTTGTTGATTGGCTGCCCTGCAGCCTTTGAAAATGCGCAATAAATCACCTAACACCGAACTCCAACCCGAACATACAGTGATATGTCCGTGTTCGGGTCCGGGGTCCAAAAAACCTAATGTTCGGTACGAACCCAAACTTTCTAATAGAGAGTAATGACCTTCAGATCTAGCAATGATTAAGTCATTTGTTACTTTGGCAGTTTAAGTAGAATAGTGGGTAGAGGAGGTTTAACCCCTTAAGGACCAAACTTCTGGAATAAAAGGGAATGATGACATGTCACACATGTCATGTTTATTTAAGGGGTTAAGGAGGGAGCTAGTATTGCGAAAAATGAGTTAGACGGGTAAAAACAAACTGCTCAAGATGTTTAGAAGGAAAAGGGAGTAGCAATATAGGATGGTAGTTAAAAGGAGTAGTAGGATGAACACCAGATTGAGATGGGATTTATGACTGAATGTTTAAGACAGAGAGCAAAATGCCAATAGAAGGAGTGGTTGAAAATATGCATTAGTAGGGGAGATGACACTGAATAAGATTAGAGGGGAAGTGGATCAAGTAGGAGGCAAACGATTCTAAAGAGCTCAGAGATAAGAATGGAATGCAGTGAAGTGATGGGGTATATGTAAAGATTCTCAGTTATTAGTGGAACTGTGGGTAGGGTGGAGTACAGAGAAGCCAGGTTTAGGGGCGAGATCGACAGCTGCTAAAAGGAAAAGGGGCCAGATAAAGTTGATGGAAATGGGACTTAAAAGTATGTGTTGGTTATCAATATTTGGAGGAGAGAGGGGAGGACGATGTGTGTTAAGATTGCATGGGATGAAATATGCAGAGGTATAGAAGGAGCAATACAAATTAAGTTACCTAGTGGTGGTGGGTGGAAAGACAGTATGCTGTTTGAAATTTAGAAAATATTGAAATATTAAATAAACACCTTTATAAAGACTTGGGAAAGGGGTTTCAGGTAGACTTGGACACCGCCAAAATTTGTGTTTTGTCCCAAAATATTTGACCAAAAATTTTTTTTTGTCCAAACCAAATTTCATTCATTTATGGTCTTTCAGATAATATTATTAATACTTAGTAAAAAAATATATAGTATTAGTAAATAATGGTGGTTAAATACTTCCTACTGTCCCATCTGCCGATGCCACAAGTAGGGACATATCTACTAAACAGCGAGCAGTCAGTTGGAAAGCGTGGGAAAACTTTAAAAAGCTTTCCCCACCCTGCAAACTCAGTATGTAGGAGTCCTTGCAGGGTGAAGATGGATTATTTTTTCGTTGAGATTTTTACATTTATTTTAATAGTTTGACATGACAACAGTGGCGTACATACCAGGGTCGCAGGGGTCGCGGCTGCGACCGGGCCCGGCCCACCAGGGGGCCCGGCCGACCCTGTGACCCGGTATGTACCCACAGGGCTAGCCTCTTCCCCTGGGGGGCCCAGGAGCCGACCACCCCAGGGCCCCCCGAGGCTGGCCCTGCTGACACCCGGAAGGCGGGTGGCGGTCGGGCAGGCGGGCGCGCGAGGGAGCACTCAGTGCTTCCTCTTCAGCTCCCTCGCGCACCGCACTGATACCGGAGCCGGAAGAGGAGGGAGCTGAAGAGGAAGCACTAAGTGCTCCCTCGCGCGCCCGCCTGCCCGACCGGCCACCCACCCAGGAGCCCAGCAGCTCCACTGGACCCCAGGGAATTCCCCCAGCA